ATTATCACTGTTAATGTTTGTAATAAAAGATATTTGCAATGAATAAATCACTGATTGTACAAAATGCTATCATTCTATCCCTATCTGTCTAAATATGTTCACAAACTGTTCCAAACCAAGAGTCTTATTAAAGTCTGGCAAAGAAGATTGTCCCATCTGATCATTCCAACTTGTATGAGTCTTTTAGGGTGAAAATTATTTGTCTTCTAATAAATTTGGATACTGCAAATCCAGCTTATTCTGGCTATAGTAAATGTCTCTATTTCTTTCCTGTGTCGTACCTGCCTTTATGAGAGTTAGGAAGGTCAGCAATCTATTTTAATAAAGTAATGAAAAGTTAAAAGAGGAACATGCATATTAGTTGAACAGGTCCTAATTTATCACCACAATGCAAACGGCTTTATGTAAGTTAATAAAAATAGCAACTGGAATGCATTAAATATCGAAGAGTTCTTTCATTCACAAACTTTGGGATGTTCTCCATGAGACACTGAGAGGGCTTGTCACAATAATGTAATGGAATAACTGATCATAATGTGCAAAGGCTTTACTTTTTGTTAAGATGCGGTCACTTTCTATGTTCCACTGAAGGGGGAAAAACCAGGAAATAATTACTGGTACAGCCAACTACAGGCTTCCTTAGTGCTCAAGTTATGTGTGAAACAATTTCCTATGCTCTCCAGTGGGGAAAGGTTTTGACTAAGTAATCTGGAGAAATGATGAAAGTTACACAGTTGTTCAGGTCTTTCGTTCATAGGTCGCTATGAGTAGTCTATGACTCGACAGCACTTAACACCACCAACAAAGAGAGAGCTCTGTGGACCTGGTGAATAGGAAGTTATGCTACCAAGTCAAAAGTGGGGATTTAAATCTCCGGCCCTCAGGCCTGGTTTTAATTGTTTTTGGTCCAACATTCTTCTAAGTGGGATAGCATAAGTGGGATTAGCACTGGTCTGTCCATTTGCTGTACAGAAGTAACTTGTGGTTGCTGTGATGCTAAACACCGTGACACTGATGTGTCAAATGCGAGATTGGTTACCCATGGTGGACAGTGTTTGGTGGAGCTCCCCAATTAAAACAAGCTTGGAAGCAGGAGTGGTATCCACTTCCGAAATGGCTTGCCTTTGGAAACTATGAACTTGGAGAAACAATGAAATTTATACAAGTGTTTAGGTCTTTCGTTCATAGGGGCGCTATGAGTTGTCTACGACTCAAAGGTATTTAACAACAACAACAGGCTATTTGTTTCACAGGAACAGACTCAGGGAAAAGGAACACACTGGCGCTCCATCTCAGGTGTCCTTGGGGAACAAATGTAGGATTTTTATTGCCTTGTATTCAAAGCAGCTACCTTCATACACATGTAGGCCTAGAGCTTTACCCTCCAGGCAGCAGCTAAGAAAGGCTGAGGGTACAGAACTGGCCTTGGGGGACCTACTCCACTCTCCTACCCCCTACTAGGCTGGGAATCTTCAGGGGCCTCTTCTGCATAATCTCCAAAGAGGAGTCCAGATGTGAAGAACTTAAATAACAGAAAATGCGTGTGTGTTTTAAAGACATGTCAAGCCTTCTCATTTGTTAACCAAATAGCCCTTCCATCCTTTCTAGAATTTCAAACCATGGTGTGGCAGCTCTTCTCTGTTAGGGATGCAGGGGGTGTTTATTGTATGAGACAGATCACAGAACACAAGGGTAGCAAACATTATGTAGTAAGTATCATAATTAGTTAGACTGCATTATAGTTTAGCTTTAGAAATTCATGTTTAGTAAGTTGGCTAAGTCCTATTATTTTTTTCTACTTTAACCTCTGGCCAGAAGCCAAGGAACTTTCTGAGCATGACAAGCCATCAGCCCTCCAATATCAAGAGGCATTTTTATGTATCTGTGCCAAGCAGTTTGCAGAACAAGCATGGACGTGGGACAGTGCCAAGAAGGCACGGAGAACGGTTCATCTACAACAAGTTAACCAATTTAAGCTTGGGAAAGACACATACACGTGCAAGAAGGCAGCCTGCTGGTCAGAGCCAGAGGGTCTGAAAGTGCAGTATGCAAGCGCCTCAATCCTGAAAGGCCTGTCGGGTCAGGCCAGGCTTCAGTCACTCCTCTGGAGAGTGGAATGCATACTTGCAACAGACTCTCAGAGAACATTACTTTTTCACAACTTAGAATAGTTTCAAGTCGTGTGAATCCTTCAGAAAGGTTTTTCAATCAATCTTGTTCTCCTGGATCAACATTTGCAGCAAATACTATTTCAAAAGCCAAAACAACCATATAAATAAGAAATGCACTTATTTTAATCTAATGTTAAATATACACACATTTTCTGACAAATACCGTTTTTTTTCAGACTTTGATAAAATTCTTTGACCTCAGCTGAAAAACTGAGATGACTGTATCTGAGGAAATGACTATATGTAATAATTTTATTAACATATTACCCTTTGTAATCAATGACATGAATAATTGGGCTGCTAATGAAATAGCATTTTCTGGATGTTGATTGTTTCTACTGAAGTAATACTTCCCTAAAATTTCAAGCCAGTGGATTGCAATTTCAGCAGCCACCAGGACAGAGACCTGCCCACAGGGTTTCCCTCCACGGCTTCATCTCTTGGAAGCAGACTGCCCCATCTTCCTCCCAGAACACCCAATTATGCTCATGCAAAACATATATTTGGACCTAAAAGCAGTCGTCAGAACGGAGCAAGGGAACAATGCATGGTTCAAAATCAAGAAAGGAATGCATCAGGGATCCATCCTGTCTCCATACCTTTTCAGCCTAGGGTTTTCAAACTGCCAGCCTCCCGGTCAGCAGCACAGTCCTTAGCCCCTGTGCCATCAGGGGCCCAATTCTTGTATCTCTCTAATTTACAGACTACAAAATCCTGACACAAATGCCAGTAACTCCCATAAACTCTTGAAGGGAAGATGACTTGGAGAACGTAAGAAAGGAAAATGGTGCCCTGGAAGGGTCACTCAGTCCGGAGCCAAAAGAACAAGAGACCTGAGAGATACGTGAGTTGTCATGTGTCACTGGTGAGGTACACCGTTCACTTTCTCCTGGTCCTTTTTCTCAGCATCAGGAAGGCGCCTGGCATGAGCTACCACACCACTAGGGGTCATGGTGAGTTAGGGCATTCTGCCTAGATGCCTGATAAAAAATTTACTTATCTCCTTTGACCCAAATTCCAGCTTAGTCTATATAGGTTGTTTTTTATTTAAGCTTCATGTTTAGAATCAACAAGACCTTGGGAAGGGCCTTTTTATTTAGAAGTTGGTTGTTATATTTTGGAGGAACATTCTTCTAAGTGGTACAGCACTCTTCTGTCAATTTGCTGGAGTGAGGTAACCTGGGGTTGCTGTGATGCTGAACCTTGTGCCATTGGGATATCAAATGCCATAATGGTTATCCATGATGGACAGTATTTGGTGGAGCTCCCAGTTTAGGACAGGTTGGCATCCACTTCCTAAATAACATGTCTCTGGAAACTCTATGAACTTTGACAATAGTTATAGAAAGACTTCAGACCTTTTGTTCATAGGGTCGCTATGAGTTGTGGTCAACTCCATAGCAATCAACAACAACTAGTAAAGAGCATTGTTCAGAAAATGGAATTGTGATGAAAAATGTTCATATTAATAATATTGTATTTGCAAGCTACCTTTTGAATTTGCATCCTAAGGATGGGGACCTGAGAAGTAGATTTATTTGAACACAGGAAGTGTTACGGGATGGTGCACGTAAAAATGTGACTCTCAACCTCCAAGATGAAGAAATTTCAATATTGCTTACAGTGCCCCCAGGGCCCAAGGGACAGTCAGGAGAAACTAGTTATTTCTCTTAGGGACTGGAGGAGACCCACCTTGACCCCTGGAAAATGAATCAAGACCACCTAGTCATTTAACACAGCTAATGACTGTGTGTCATGTGGAAACAATTACTCATCATCAGTCTAGGTTGGCTTCATGTCTAGAGGCAAGATCTTATTTTTTATTATCAATTCTACAAGTCAAACAGCTTCAATTGTTAATAAAGTATCCTATTAAATGTATATATTCTGATTTTACTAGCAGCTATAATAAAATTTTCAATCCAATCACCACTAAATCAAGTGGAAAAGAATTATCTTCTAATAAAGTTAGCATCTTAAGCCTACATATCTGTCACTCTACTGACTTCACTTCTAAACTAGCAGCTGACAATTTTCCATCACATTTCTATTTTGTTTTATTTCAAGTATAATTCTAACTCACCTGTACTCAGAATAACAAAATATATTTCTCTCAGACTGTTACCCCTATAACTTAATAAACTTTTCAGAGAATAAATCTACCACTTAATAAATTTATCATTTTAAAAGTCTTAAAAGACTTTAATAATTTCTTTAGAACCTCACTGGAAAATCCACATGGCTGGCGGGGTGATGGAGAAGGCCATACTCCACATAGTCACTGGGCTCTTGGTTTCCTGTCTAGAAAACGCTCCAATGCTGAGACCGCCATATTCTCCACACAGATGCTTCAGGGTTCAGGAGCAGAGCCGTGTCCTCTGCTCTCCTGACACCTCTTAATCCACAGTGATGTCAAGCATGTCACAGGGGCTGTGAATCACTACCTTCTGCAGAAACTGCCAATCCCCCAGGGCCCTGCCCCCGGCAGACAGCTGCACTGCCAGCCTCTTCCCACAGAAGGGTTTATAAATCACCTTCCAGATAATCCCAGGGCCTGAGTGAAAGCTTTAATAAAGATAAAAAGAAGAAGAAAAATTTGTCAAAAACAAATTGGTTGTCTCTCAAGCTGACACCTTTTCAGAAGCAGGCTTCCCCACCCCTCCTTATCTTTTGCCCCTGGAGACATTGTCTTTTCTCAAACAACCAGGGGCGCTGTCTTCATCAAAACAGCCCGGAATGTCTGAAGAATGCTGGCCATGCACAGTGAACGTGCCCACATTTTCCTCCCTTTCCCTCTGGTCGTCCCCAGTATAATTTAATCCTTTGCACCTGCAAAAGCTCCACAGACCGCCGACTGCCAAGAATCCACCACGTGATCCTGCCTCCAGGACCAGAGTGCCTGTGTGTGAAGAGAAAGAAAAATACAAGTTATTAAATATTTGAATTTATCAGAACCTCCTGTGGGTTAGCTCTGGGGATGGGAACTTAAGTGAGAAGCTATTTTGGTGACATTCTTCAGTGATGATATAAGTGATTTTCCCAGGCACTTAACTGCATTCTAAATAAGTTGAAGAAGTAAGGGTGAGAGCTATATTAGTGTTCAAAGGAAATAATTGTCAAGAATATGTACCTTTCATACTCACAGACACGTGTGCAATCATATCTGTGTCTGGGTAAAAACCATTTCATTGCCTGTGCTGTACATGTGGGAAAGAGGCAGCTCTGTTAGCTTAGTGGTAAGGAATTGTGCTGCCAACCCAAAGCACATGGTTCAAATCTGCCAGGAGGACGATGGGCAATCTCCCCACATACAATTTAGTCTTGGAAAACCTGCGAGAGCCTTAGCTCCGAGTCAGTTGAGACCCCATAGTTTACAAGGATAATTCAGTTACATAGGTATCGAAAGCATTAATTTAAACCTACCTCCAGAACTTTTTCTAATTCATGTGTTACAGATTGAGGATTATACAAATGCCTTTTAAGTGTCTCACTGGGAAACACGACTGTGCACTGTTCACTGTGCCTACAGGGAACTGACAGAGGAGGCAAGATACAGTTACATGAACATTGACTAATGCCATGATTTCTTTTTAATGCCATGATTTTAAATACACTGGAAGGCACAATCCTTAAGTGTTGGATCCTGTTGTTACCAACGTTCCACACTTTACCTAGGCTATCTGACAGTATACCCTGCATTTTGTCCCCCTTCTCCCAATAATACTGCAGGCAGCTCTGGTGGCCTGGTAGGTTTTGCTTGCAAACTCAAAGGCAAGCACTTTGAATCCTCTCCTGTGTGATTCACAGCCACTGAAAACCTGCTCAAGGGTCAGCTAAGTCTCAGTTCCAACTGGATGGCATGTACCACCACCACCAATGATATTTAATGGTGTTTTCAGAGAAAGTTTACACAGCAACTCAACAATTATTACACAAGGTGTGACACTGACTGTATTCTCCACAACACATGAACATTTGCATGTATTTCTTTCTGGTGGTTCAAATTCCTTCAATCTAGTTCTCCCAGACCCCTTACACTCTCATCTTTATTTTAAAGTACTGGTTAACTGTTTGGTATCATGAAGGAAATGGTTTTAAATGAGAAATATACTTATAAGGAATATTAATTTTTTTTAACAAAATCTATTATTGCTTGTCTGTCAGATACTCCTCTAAATCTGAACATTCAAATTAAGACAGACTAGGAAGAAGATTGGCCACCCACTTCTGAAATATCAGGCCTCTGAAAACCCTATGCACAACAGAACACATGCAGACTAACAGAAAGGGCAACCTAGGTAGAACTTTCAAGTATGGAAATACAAAGGAGGAGGAACAGTTGTAAGCAGACCCTAGTGA